ACACCTTGTTTCCTGAATTAAAGGAGCAAACTTTGCACTTCTGTCATACCTCTGTTTCATAATGTTTTGAGCAGATTTTAAGTTAGCCTTAGCCAACTGATGGGCTACCTGCAACCTTGAAGAAGGGTTGTATAGATACAGTGCTTTGCAGGTGTCTTCATCCATCCATCCATCCTTCCTTGAGCACTTGTAGGGGACCTCTCACATTGTGCTCAAATATGAGCTCAAATGGACTGTACCCTGTTGATTCCTGCATAGTTTCTTGCATTGAGAACAGCAACAGAGGAAGCAATTCATCCCAGTCTTTAGGAAAATGCATGCAAAAGGTCCTAATCCTAGTTTTTAAAGTTTGGTGAAGCCTTTCCAAGGTGCCTTGGGACTGAGAAGGATAGGCTGTGGGCAGTTGGTGATTAATATCTAGCCTAATTACAGCTTCTCTGAATGATTTTGCTGTAAAATTATTACCCTGATCACTTTGGACAAATTTTGGAATGTCAATGTAGGAAATAAATTTAAGAATGACCTTAGTGGTTATACTACGCATTGGGACTGCTTCCGGATACCTCGTAGCTTTGTCCATGATTGTGAACAAATATTGGTTACCTGGCTTTGCCTTTGGTAATGGTCGCACATGGTCAGTAATTAACTCAGCAAAGGGGTCTCCATCCACAGGTATGGGGTGAAGTGGTATGGGTCTAATGGAGTGTCCAAGTTTACCTACATGTTAATATTCTTTACAGGAGCAGATGTGACTCCACACATCTTGCCTTATACCTGCCCAATTGAGAGGTTTTTAATATTCTTTAAAGGGTTTTAGTGGCTCCCAAATGACCTCTTAAGGACGAAGTGTGAGCTATATTCAGAATCAGAGACCTGAATTTCATAGGAACTACCGGTCTATCTAATTTTGGGCTTCCCCCTACCTTCTTACTAGGTTCAGAACACACTGGCAGGTTGTGTTTAATTTTATATTTAACTGGGTGATCTGATCTCTGTCAATATAGAGTAAGAATTAGGATTAGTCTGCCCAAAATGCCTAGGCATGCTAGTGACCTTCTTTGTAATTAATATTTTATAACATGCAAGCCATATATTGTAAGCTTTGCAAGGAAATAAACATTCTCATTTCATTTCATTCGCCCATGGCAGCCTTAAAAGTGAAGGTTAAGGAAGGATCCCTTCATTGTTCTTCCAGAAAGAACAATCTCTTGGGCATGGAAACAAAGATGTCTGGCAATCCTGCAACCTTGGAATGGGAAGGCTTGATCAGGGACATTACACTAGGTGTATGAGGTCTTGGCCATTTTCCCTCATAAAATTTGTCAAGCCCTAGATCTAAGTCCTCCAAGGAAGATCAACATTTTTAACAGACACCCCTTGGGACATTGCCTGAGTTATGGCCAGCATTAGAGAAGAACCTTCAGTAGTTGCCATGAGTTCTGGACAGTTTGATGAATTTAGAATATTATTGCCAAGCAGTAATATGGCATCTTTCATGGGGAATCCCTCAGACACACCTACAGTTAAATATCCTGTATAATAATTACTGTCCACAAAAAATTTATGCAAAGGGACAGAGAATGCAGCTCCCCCAAAAGTTTCTAATAACATGGGGGAGTTTAATGAAGTCTCCTCAGAAATTAGAAGTACTCCCTCTATTATGAGGAAACAATAATCCCCAATATCCTGAAAGTGGATACCTCAATAGGAATTTCATTCTCATTAAGGGAGATGTGGCATGTACTGTAAATGATGCCATACAAACATCTCTCTCTTGCTGGTTTGTTCCAGAGGGAAATATGTAGATTGATTTTCCCCAAAGGTTGGGGTCTATTTAATTTATCACTAGCTGCTAGGTTAACTAACTCAGGGCAGTTAGGCTTTGTATGACCAGTTTGCTGCAGTGCAAACAAACTATAGGTTTAGGTTTCTCTTGTAGTCCCTGTTGACTTTGTAGCTGACGCCATTTGCTATACTGACTTTCTGACTGACATCGTTGTTCACCATGCTGACTGTGAGTCTGATGTCATTGTTCACCATATTGACTGTGTGTCTGACATCATTGTTCCCTTCCAGCCTCCCACTTTGTTCTTCCATCAGGGATCCATCCACAACGATCTATCCATAACAGGCTGTTGGGAAGAAAGATTATAGGACTGCTCGGACAAGGAGCGGTTGGTCTCAAATGTGTCAGCAAGCCTGGCTGCCTCTAATGCAGTTGCCAATGAACGGACTTCCAAAAACACCCATATCTCTGGTCCAACAGACTCTAGCAAATTATCAAGCAGGACCATTTGCACTAACTCAATAGAATTAGTGACACCACTGGCCTTGTACCACTTCGTGAAATTTTTAGATTGCTCACGAACAAAGTCTATACAAGACTGACCCAGCTGATACTTGCACAGTTTAAATTCTCTCCTATACTTGGCAGGAATACACTAATATGCACCAAGAACAGTTATTTTGACAACGTAATTACCGAAGTCATCAAAATCCAAACCAGCTGTGAACTCCTGCGCTTTGCTGTACAATGCTCTTTGCACAAGTTCTGCCCAATGCTCCACTGGCCACCTTAATGCACGAGCCTAATTTTCGAAAGTCTTGAGAAATTGTTCAGGCTCAGTATTAGAAAAATGAGGTACTATCAGCACCGCTTTTTGCACATTAAATTTCTCAGTTACATTATGCTGAAACTGCCTCCTCCGCTTCTCTGTGAGACTCCTCCTTGGTGAATGTACATTGCTCCATGGTCGTCTCAAGGTTAAGTTTGGCCAATTCAAGTGCCAGTGAAGCTGCTGACACACCCTGAGACAAACCTAATTCACCACCTGTTTCCCAAAATTGCTGATCTGGTTGCTCTGGTGTTAGCTCTCCCACATTACAAAGGAAACGAAGTGGAGATCAGTGATTAATAGCCCCTTTTACTGCAGAAACCTCAGTTTGGTATGGCATGTTACTCGCTTCAACCTTTAATTTGTTATGAATACTTTCACTAAGCTGTGCAGCAGTAAGAGTTCATTGACATTTTATACCAATGGAACGAGCAATTTGCCAGTAGTGTGGGCAAATTTATAAGGTATCCTCAAGACACCAGTCCCCTAAGATGTGTTGGTGGCCTAACCCACTATAACAAAACATTTGCAATACACGTAACATGCAGCAGCTGCACAGTACAACTTGCAGGATACACATAATAGCATGGCTAATATGCAATGCTGAAAGTGATGGCAAGGCTGACATGCAGTGCTGCAAGCAATACGAGAGACAATGTGAACAATACTAAGACCAGCTTCAGCTCCTGGACAGAGCCCCCATATTACACACACAGGTGTAGAATGGCCTGCACACCTCATCGTAACTGAATAAATAGTGGAGCAAGTAAAACACAACAGAAGTTATATGACTTGTATTTCCTTCTCCAAATAAGCAAGCTGGTATTTACAGTATGTACACTATTTACAATATATACAGTGATGTAAGAACAAGTGTACAACACGGTGGCCAAAGGAGGCAAAAAGCAAAAGCCATACAAAGCACTGTAATTGACCAGCAGCCCAGACAAGTCTGCCAAACCTCACGTCACAAGTGAAACATTTCTTCACAGCTCTGGCGGGCTTGTCTGATTGGCCAATGAACCGAGGTAGTGATGTAATGACAGGACCCTTATTAGATTGTTAAATCCTTAGCACCTGGTTCACTGGTTAGGTGGCAGCCTATATGGGAGTGCGACATGTGCTGAATAATCTGTAACATACTTGTAGCATGCCATAAAAAGTGAAAATTTATAAGACAAGTCACAATGTCAAGGCTGAAACAATTTACAAATAATTCACTTTTTGGAGATGATTCTTTGTGACATTATTATTTATCATGGATCATGGTCTCAGAAATTTATATGTATCATTGATTTCGTCCACTTTGAGCCCTATTTTCGGCAAATTCTGTTTCCAGTCACCAAACGCATAGCTATTTTACTAGAACTCCATTTGTTCTATCGCTTGAGTATAAGAAACTGCCCATTTACCGATTTCAACTATCCAGTAAAGTGGTCAGAAATTGGCAATTTAGCCAATTTCACACAAATTTCAAAAGATGCCAATTTCAAAATTGGGTCCAGAATAAACACTGCAGACATTCCTGGCACTAAAATAACATTTTCTCTGTTTATTAGTCAAGGCTCCAGGCCCCTCTTATATTACTCTTGCTTTCCATTTGGAATTTTTATTCTCACAAAAAATAAAAGATTTTTCTGTTATGCAGACTATTGCAGTATTGTAATAATTGTATAAATAATGTCAACCCATTCGTGACCGCATATTAGACTGGCTAATTGGACACGTATTAGATGGTGACATTATTTGCTTACTCTTGAACATCGGCAAAAATCAAACATTTCCACTTCTTGGAGCTCAATTTCAAGGTACTTTTCTTCGTGAAACCAATCAAAATCATCTCTATTTCTGTAATATATCTTCCATTCTATCACATGAGACCAAGAAAACAATACAATTATAAATCCCATATGAAAATACACCTCAAAGTCGGCATTTTAAACCAAAAAATATGGTCGGAGTTTTTTTCTCAGGCACTGTGTGCTGTAGGTTTTGTTATACTGCACACACTGACCATGCAGACTCATTCTCACGTGTAGGTCTACCAGCTTTATCCTGCTAGTTTTGAAACTGCTAGAATTTTGGCATATTAATTCAACACCAACACTGGCTTGTAAGCCATACAGATATGACACTGACAGCGAAAGGGTTAATAATGGTCCAGAATGGACTTTAATATCATATAAAGTTTTATCTCTGAAGTGTGAGTTATATTTTAAGTTGTATTTGAAATTTAGTCAGTCTGATGTGATCTTGAATGCACACATAATGCAAATATAAATATTTTAATAGGGCATTTATGTAAGATCTTTAAGTCATGTTATATCCTTCAAATCAACATGTTGGTTCTTTAAACTTGAACATTTAATGTTTCATGCTACTCAGACAACTCGGATCAGCTACAAGAGCCTCAGCAGGGTAAGGTGTTTCTTGTCTCTTCTGCCCTTCTCACTCTACTCTCAACAAAATTTTCATTTCACTGTTGTTTTCACCATTATTGGCTAAGCCTTGAAGAATTCAAAAACATTTTCTGTATTCCTGCATGTTGTGTTTAGTTCTAGTTACTTTAGTGACTCCTTATACCTGTATATATAACTCAATCTCACATAAGTGATGAAATCATCCATGTTGTCAGGTTTGTACTTCTGGTTGAACTCAATCAAATTTTTGTAAATTTCCCTAGTTTTTCTTTTGTAATGCCTATACTGTATTTTTTACTTTTATTTTCCCATTATCTTATATTTCAACTCACCCAGGTTGCTAGTAAAGGCTGGGGTACAGGGAAAGGTATTAATGTGAATAATGAAATACATTCACAAAAGTTAAGAGAAAGATTGGGAAAGTGTATGTATATTGTATTCCACATAGGTCAGTATTGGACTCCATACTGTTGTGGGTGAGTATGAACATGAGGGCTACAATATTTCAAATTCATATACTTTGTTTCTTTTCTGCAGTACAGTGGACCCTCGACTAACGCTATTAATCCGTTCCTGAGAGCTCATTGTTAGTCAAAATTATCGTTAGTCAAGTTAATTTTCCCCATAAGAAATAATGGAAATCAAATTAATCCGTGTAGGACACCCCAAAGTATGAAAAAAAAATTGTTTTTACCACATGAAATATTAATTTTAATACACACAAACTGAAGAAGACATGCACAGTTACATGACACTTACCTTTATTGAAGATCTGGTGATGACTGATGGGATGGGAGGAGGGAAGAGTGTTGATGGTCTTAGTGTTTAGAAGGGGAATCCCCTTCCATTAGGACTTGAGGTGGCAAGTCCTTTTCTGGGGTTACTTCCTTTCCCTTTAAATCTCTCAAACCAACCTTTGCTGGCCTAAAATTCACTCGCATCACCACTAGTTGCTGGCATTTTTTTAATTAAATCGTCATGCAACTTCCTAGCCTTTTCACATATGATCGCTTGAGAGATGCTATCTCCTGCTATCTGTTTTTCGTTTATCCACACCAGTTTCGAAAACATAGTTGCACCTTTGGCAAGAACAGCTTCCTTGATTGTTGTTTTCTTGCCCACAATAGTAGCGATGGTTGATTGGGGTTTTGTGTACAACCTGGCCAGCTCGGAGACACTCACTCCACTTTCATACTTAGCAATGATCTCTCTTCATATCCATAGTAATTCTCACCCTTTTTGCTGTAGGGTTGGCACTAGAGGCTTTCTTGGGGCCCATGGTGACTTATTTTGCAGGTGCAATCACTAAAAAGACTGTGATAATATGAAATGTTCCGATTGTATGCTTGGAAGCGACTGCGGTGGCTGGCTGGCTTGTAAACACTGGCCAGAAGTGGACGCGTCTCAGACGGAACGAATAGTGTTGGTCGAGTTTTTTAGCGCTAGTCGAGGCAAAATTTTTGCGTTAAAATGTATTGCTAGTCGGATTTATCGTTAATTGATGCCATAGTTGGTTGAGGGTCCACTGTATACAGATAATGTAGTTTACCTGTAATAAAACTTTGTTAGGCACAAGTGTCCTAAATGTCCTTACAGATATTGAATAATAGCATGTTTCCTTTGGGTCACTTTGCCTTGGTAGGACAAGGACATGTAAAGAAATATTCATGACTTGAATGTGGATGATTTGTCCACATTTCCTAGAACAAAATACATTGTGAAAATCTTCACCATTTCTAACCTGGCCACAAAAGTACCTGGAAGTAAGTGTACATTCACTGTAATTCACACAAGGTAAACTTTTAGTAAAGAACTAACTCAAGGACTTATTAATGACCAAAAATCAATTTTAAACAAACCTGTTTTGATTTCTGTAATACTGTAATCCAAAATTCACTCTTGAGTTATTCCAGGTTTTATCCAATGAAAAATATGAAAAATAAAGTTAGGTTGATTTAACAGTGAGTTGAGTAACTTATCTTTTTCCTCTGTAGACCTTTATTTATTATTATTATTATTATTATTATTATTATTATTATTATTATTATTATTATTATTATTATTATTATTATTATATTATTATTATTATTGTTGTTGTCATACAGCTTGTAAACCTATATTGATGTTTAATATAGGCTGATTAGTTATTCTTTTTTCTTCCAAACTTGTTCTCTTTACTGAACTCCAAAAATTTGTGCTTCTTTATGCATGGTTCAGAGTTTTGCTAATCACTAGTTATAATTGCAAGTTATAATCCTTGGTTAGTTATAATCACTGGTTAGTTATAACCACTATTTAGTTAGTCACTAGATATAATCACTGGTTAGTTATAATCACTATTTATAGTCACTAGATATAATCACTGGTTATAATCACTCATTGTAATCACTAGTCATAATCACTAGTTATAATCACTCAATATAATCACTAAATATAATCACCAGTTATAATCCTATTACTTCATCTAGTTTTGTGACTGTTGTCTTTATGGGGGTCAATCAATTCATCAGTTTTCAATATTTACTAATGCTGATTGTTGAATATTTCAGGTTTGATATATAAACATTGCAAGTGTTGGGGCTGATACTAAAGTCTTGAGTATAGGTAGAGAAATAAGACACATAGGCAACATTTAGGCATCTTTATTCTGAAATGTTTCACCTACACAGTAGGCTTCTTCAGTACTCAACTGAAGAAGCCTACTGTGTAGGTGAAACTTTCCGGAATAAAAATGCCTGAATGTTGCCTGTGTCTTACTAACTTGTCGGTATTGTATACCATTTTGATATTTAATATAGGTAGAGGTTTAAAGACCAGTTTTTTAAGCAAAAATGTACGGATTCAACTTACTCAAGAGTAATGTTTTTGAGAAGTTGAAATCCTGATGTATTCAGGGCCAGAAACTCCAGTATTTCTTCTACTTTAGTGCATCAAGGGTAAAACCACACTTGGTAACCATTGAATATATAAATACTTCATTTGTACATTTGATATCCAGTAGATTCATTTGTGTTGGTCGGACACCAGGGAGCCCTGGTCGGACACCAGGGAGCCCTGGTCGGACACCAGGGAGCCCTGGTCGGACACCAGGGAGCCCTGGTCGGACACCAGGGAGCCCTGGTCGGACACCAGGGAGCCCTGGTCGGACACCAGGGAGCCCTGGTCGGACACCAGGGAGCCCTGGTCGGACACCAGGGAGCCCTGGTCGGACACCAGGGAGCCCTGGTCGGACACCAGGGAGCCCTGGTCGGACACCAGGGAGCCCTGGTCGGACACCAGGGAGCCCTGGTCGGACACCAGGGAGCCCTGGTCGGACACCAGGGAGCCCTGGTCGGACACCAGGGAGCCCTGGTCGGACACCAGGGAGCCCTGGTCGGACACCAGGGAGCCCTGGTCGGACACCAGGGAGCCCTGGTCGGACACCAGGGAGCCCTGGTCGGACACCAGGGAGCCCTGGTCGGACACCAGGGAGCCCTGGTCGGACACCAGGGAGCCCTGGTCGGACACCAGGGAGCCCTGGTCGGCACCAGGAGCCCTGGTCGGACACCAGGGAGCCCTGGTCGGACACCAGGGAGCCCTGGTCGGACACCAGGGAGCCCTGGTCGGACACCAGGGAGCCCTGGTCGGACACCAGGGAGCCCTGGTCGGACACCAGGGAGCCCTGGTCGGACACCAGGGAGCCCTGGTCGGACACCAGGGAGCCCTGGTCGGACACCAGGGAGCCCTGGTCGGACACCAGGGAGCCCTGGTCGGACACCAGGGAGCCCTGGTCGGACACCAGGGAGCCCTGGTCGGACACCAGGGAGCCCTGGTCGGACACCAGGGAGCCCTGGTCGGACACCAGGGAGCCCTGGTCGGACACCAGGGAGCCCTGGTCGGACACCAGGGAGCCCTGGTCGGACACCAGGGAGCCCTGGTCGGACACCAGGGAGCCCTGGTCGGACACCAGGGAGCCCTGGTCGGACACCAGGGAGCCCTGGTCGGACACCAGGGAGCCCTGGTGGACACCAGGGAGCCCTGGTCGGACACCAGGGAGCCCTGTCGGACACCAGGGAGCCCTGGTCGGACACCAGGGAGCCCTGGTCGGACACCAGGGAGCCCTGGTCGGACACCAGGGAGCCCTGGTCGGACACCAGGGAGCCCTGGTCGGACACCAGGAGCCCTGGTCGGACACCAGGGAGCCCTGGTCGTACACCAGGGAGCCTGGTCGGACACCAGGGAGCCCTGGTCGGACACAGGGAGCCCTGGTCGGACACCAGGGAGCCCTGGTCGTACACCAGGGAGCCCTGGTCGGACACCAGGAGCCCTGGTCGGACACCAGGGAGCCTGGTCGGACACCAGGAGCCCTGGTCGGACACCAGGGAGCCTGTGGTACACCAGGGAGCCCTGGTCGGACACCAGGGAGCCCTGGTCGGACACCAGGGAGCCCTGGTCGGACACCAGGGAGCCCTGGTCGGACACCAGGGAGCCCTGGTCGGACACCACTGACAGGAGCCTGGTCGGACACCAGGCAGCCCTGGTCGGACACCAGGCAGCCCTGGTCGGACACCAGGCAGCCCTGGTCGGACACCAGGCAGCCCTGGTCGGACACCAGGCAGCCCTGGTCAGACACTGTTACAAGTTCTAATCCTCCTTCCTTCAACTTTAGTTGTTTTTACCTTGTGTGTAATATACATGTACTGTCAGTAGCTAAAAGCTCAACAAATCCATTACACAGAGAAACATTTCCTCTTCATTCAGTTTGTTCACTGGTCAAGAGGTATCACTGCAGTTCCAAGATTGGTTACTGTTTCCATCCTCAAGACTAACCAATATTTAGTTCTATTTTCAGATAATTACTACAAAATGCATATCATGGTTGCATAGGATATTGTTAACAAATATTAATGTTCATTTTATTATGGTGTGGGTAAGTGCTGAAGGTAATTGCATGGGAGAGAGGGTGAGTACATTAAGCCAAGCCAGATTATCAAGAGTAGAGAAAAGTTGTCATCTCTC